TGGTCGTCTCGAGGACACGTCCGGCACTCGGCCTCGCCCAGCGTCGCCTCCGCGTAGACGGCCAGCGACTCGAAGCCGTGGGCGTAGCCGCTCCGGAAGCTCGCCGTCCAGGCCGTGACGACGCGCTTGCCCGGGCGCAGCGCCGCGGCGACGTCGACGTCGACGTCCCAGTCGTCGACGGCGTCGGGCACGTCGTCGAGGATGACGTCCGCGGCGACGGGCCGCGGCAGCGTCGACGCGCTGAGCTGGCGCGTCAGCAGGGACCGCCGCGTCGCCGGCACGTTGGGGTCCACGCGCGCGAAGCGCCGCGGCTTCGTCGCGGGCGCGGCGGCCGACGCCTTGTAATCCGTGAGGAGCGCCGTGGACGCCTGGGCAGCAAAAGGGTGATTCAACGTCGCTTCAACGTGAGTGTTCCGCGCGCGCGCGTTACGGAAAAAGCATCCACGCTTCGAGGCCGTTCCCCGAGAGACGATCGCTCGTCCAAAAGTCAGCCAAAACGAGTGGAACATGGCCGAGATCGGAGCCTTTGAAGTTGGGAATTTCGCTCTCTTTTGCTGCCCTGGTCGACGCGAAGAGCTCGTCGCTGGAGAACATGGGCGGCTTGCGGCTCCCGGGCGGCGCGCTGCCCGGCCGCGCCCGCGGCGGCTCCGCCTCGGAGACGAGCACCGTGGGCTCGTAGAGCGCGTGCGTGTCTTCCAAGGACGCGCGCGACGGGTCGTCCGGGTCCTCCGGCTCGGGCGGCCGCCGCGCGCCCGGCGGCGCGCTCCCCGGCCGCCGGCGCAGGACCTCGGGGCTCGCGCCCGAGGCCGTCGATTCCTGGGCCGCGCTCCGCCGGCCCCAGTGGGGCGCGGACCCGGGCCGCGCCGCGTCGCCCCGCGGGCCGAGCGGCGCGGACTCCGGGCGCGGCGGCGGCGACGCGCGGCGCAGCGCCGCGGCGCTGCCCGGCCGCGGCGCCGCGCGCGCGCCACCGAGGCCCGCGAAGCGCTCCGTGACGCCCGCGCCGCCCCGCACGGCGCTCCGGGGCCGCTCGAGCGTCCTCGCGCCTTCCGCGCAGACTTTGTCGTACTCGATCCAGGGAGCGCGGACGTCGTCGGGCTGCCAGACGCGGTGCCGCTGCGAGCTCTTGCGCGTCGACGGCGCGCAGAGGAAGCCGCTGCCCTCGTCGCTCCGCCGCACGAGCCGCCGCTGCTGCCGCACGGCGGCGCGCCGCGCCTCGACGAAGCCCTCCTCACTGAGGTAGGCGCTGTCGTCGACGGCCGAGAACTCGGCGAGCCGCGCGAGGAGCTCGCTCTTGCTCGCGGCGATGCCCCGCTTCGAGGTCGTGGAGCTCTCCCGCTGGAAGAGCGGCATGGTCGACGGAGCTCGTTAGGAAGCACTCATCGTTGGGGCTGCACCTCGACCTCACTTTGTGGATCGGCTCGTCGGTGAAGTGACGGTGCGAGGAACAAGAATATCGCATCCACATTCCGCGGCGGGCACTGCCGTCGAGCGAGGAAGACCGAGCCCCGTCCGCCGCGCGCCGCCACAGACCCATCCATGGCGTCCCGCGGTCTCGCGCTGCTCCGGCGCCTCCCGCGGGCGTCGCCCCGGTCCGCGCCGACCCGGTCCCTCTGCGCCGCGACGGAGGAGGTCGAGCGCGACAGCATGGAGTACGACGTCGTCATCGTCGGCGCGGGCCCCGCGGGCCTCGCGTCGGCCATCCGGCTCAAGCAGCTCGAGGCAGAAGCGGGCACGGAGCTCGCGGTCTGCGTCGTCGAGAAGGCGAGCGAGGTCGGCGCGCACGTCGTTTCCGGGAACGTCTTCGAGCCGCGAGCGCTCGACGAGCTGCTGCCCGACTGGCGCGACGACGGCGAGGCGCCGCTCCACACCAAGGTCCTCAACGACACGTTCCACTACCTCACGGGCGAGAGCGGGTCCATCCCCCTGCCCTGCCCGCCGCAGCTCCACAACGACGGCAACTACGTCGCGTCGCTGTCGCAGGTCGTGCGCTGGCTCGGCGACAAGGCCGAGGAATTGGGCGTCGAGATCTACCCGGGCTTCGCCGCCGCCGAGGTGCTCTACGCCGACGACGGCGCGGTCAAGGGCGTCGCGACGCGCGACACGGGCCGGAACAAGGACGGCACTCCCGGCGACGCGTTCGAGCCGGGCGTCGAGCTCGTCGCGAAGCAGACGCTCTTCGCCGAGGGCGCGCGGGGGTCCTGCGCCGAGGAGGTCATGAAGACGTTTGATTTGCGCAGGGACTGCGACCCGCAGCAGTTCGGGCTGGGCATCAAGGAGGTCTGGGAGGTGCCGGAGGACCACCCGGAGTTCGCGCCCGGGCTCGTGCAGCACACGCTCGGCTGGCCGCTGGACGCCGCGACCTACGGCGGCACGTTCCTCTACCACATGGCGCCGAATCTCGTGCAGGTCGGCCTCGTCGTCGGCCTCGACTACGCCAATCCCCATCTCTCCCCTTACAAGGAGTTCCAGCGGCTGAAGCACCACCCGAAGATCGCCCGCTACCTCGAGGGCGGCGAGCCCGTCGCCTACGCGGCGCGCGTCATCAACGAGGGGGGCCTGCAGTCCGTGCCCAGGCTCTCGTTCCCCGGCGGGGCATTGGTGGGCTGCTCCGCGGGGTTCCTCAACGTGCCCAAGATCAAGGGCACGCACACGGCCATGAAGAGCGGCATGCTTGCCGCGGAGGCCGTCTTCGACTGCGTCCGGGCGACGGCGGAGGACGAGGAGGCCGCCTACGGCGCGGAGCCCGTGGGCTACCAGGCGGCGTTCGAGTCGTCGTGGATCCGCGAGGAGCTCCACGCGGTGCGCAACTACAAGCCCGCCTTCGGCAAGTGGGGGCTCTACGGCGGCGTCGCCTACTCGGGCCTCTCCGCCTACGTGCTCCGCGGCAAGGAGCCGTGGACGTTCTCCCACGACCACGTCGACTCGCAGACGACGGTCAAATCGGACGACCCCAAGGCGAAGCCCATCGACTACCCGAAGCCCGACGGCAAGCTGAGCTTCCCGCTCCTCGACAACCTGGCGCGCGCCGTTGTCGACCACGCGGACCAGCCGAGCCACCTCCGCGTCAAGCCCGAGCTCGCGTCCGAGGTCCTCGGCAAGGCCGCGCGGTCGTTGAAGGAGCACGGCGCGCCCGAGGCCAACTTCTGCCCCGCGGGCGTCTACGAGTACGCCGACGACGCCGACGGCGACCCGGAGCTCGTCATCAACGCCCAGAACTGCGTCCACTGCAAGTGCTGCTCCATCAAGATGCCCTTCGAGTACGTCCAGTGGACCGTGCCCGAGGGCGGCGGCGGGCCCAACTACCAGATCACCTAGGGGGACCGCGGGCTGATCGCGCGGCGCGGCGGCCGCTTCTGTAAACATCATGCATCGGTCTTGCGCTGTTTGGAGGCCTTCTTGGTTCGGCGCGCCTCACTGGACCCCACTGGTCAACGTCTGTAAGTACGTCTGTCAGCGGCGCTCGCCAGTGGCAGAATTGGCTCAACTCCGCGCCAGCGAGAGGCGCGATGAAGACCCACGGTCGCGCCGCTAAGGCCCAAACCCGCCCCGCGTATTCCTCTTCGGTGTTCCAGACGCCGTTGGTCGCGTGCGTCTCGGAGTGGCTCGAAACTGCGGACGTTTTCCACCTTGGCTGGTCGAGCACCAGTTCGTGGCGGGAGGTGCAAGCGACTTTGGTCGTGCTTCGTTCCCCTTACTTTAGCGACCACGAGATCACCGACAAAGATTTGGAGTCCATAGTCCGACGCTTTCCAAATCTACGGTCCCTCTCTCTGCTGGACTCGCGCGTCACCGACGCGGCGGTCCACGGCCTTTCGAGCCTCTCGAATCTGCGCGAGCTCAACGTAGTCGGCTGCGCGGCAATCACAGTCGAAGGCGTGAAGGCCTTACCGAAGAATCTCGAATCGCTCCAGATCGGCACATGGAAAGACGAGGATGTGGACTCCGATGCGATCGTCATCGCGGCCGCGAGGCGCTGCACCCGTCTGCGGTCGCTACGTCTGGGCCCCAAAAATCTCTCGGACGCGGCCATCCTCGAGGTTGCGAGCAAATGCGTCGACTTGAAAGAGTTCGGCTTAGCGTGTGCGGAGGCCACCGTGACCGATCTTTCTATTATTGAACTGTCCAAACGATGCGATCTGGAGTTCGTGGACCTTTCGCACTCGAAGCCAGAGAACATCACGGATGCTACCGTGATTGCTCTCGCGGCGAATTGCCCCCGGCTAAAAGAAATCAACATCGCGTGCCTCGACGGGATTACCGACGCGTCTATTCTGGCCCTGTCGCGCTGCGATTCCCTTGAGACGATGTGTCTGCTAGACCTATGTCGCGTCAGCGATGCGTCCATCGTTCCCCTCGTAACGCGCCTGGGTGCCAATCTGCTGGATCTTGACGTCTCTGGAACTCACATCAGCGATGCCTCCGTACGGGCGATCGCGCAGCACTGCGGGATGATGAAATCAGTGGATTTGGGGTCTGACCATTTTTTGAGTTCTGCGAGCAACATTAGC